CTTCAGTGTATTAGGGGCAGGTGATTACGATATGTTCAATTGATAGAGTTACGTTGCAAGTATTACATATGGGTGCTGGTTATTTTTTGATGATATGTACATGGGTTAAGTAAGAGTGGCCAATTTTGGCTCGAGTGACGGTTACTTCCTCTTTTCTTTTTGTGYCGGGAGGATAGTTTAATTTCTTGACGAAATATATGAATTATWTGACGTTGTTTAAAAGTATTCATTTCATTAGAACATTTCAAGTGTGCATGTTTTTATAAGCCTTTTTTAAATTTACAATTGATAACATCTAATTGTTATTACTTGTGATTTTCTTGGTAACTAATAGTCCTCAGATGTTACATTTATTCATATTTGTATAATATGAGTAATATGGTAAATTATCAATGTATTGTAATTTTAAAACATTATGTTGGTTTATATTTTTGTTTCAGTTAAAAATCAAATCTATAAATTACAATATTTTAAAAGAAAGGTTTGAAAGTATATGTGATAAATGGCAACCAAACATTCCAGTTATATATGCCATCACACCTACCTACAAAAGACCTGTACAAAAAGCAGAACTAACAAGGTAAATTTACATTAACATTTTTCTAATTTTTAATTTTTTCAAAATTGTTATTTTTTTATAGATTGTCTAACACTTTCCGTCTTGTAAATAATTTTCATTGGATTATTGTTGAAGATTCTGAAATGAAAACATCACTTGTAGCCAATTTACTTCATAAAAGTAATTTAAACTATACACACTTAGCCATAGGAACGCCTGCTGAATGGAAAAGAAAATTAAAAGTATACAATTTTAAATAACTGATATTTTAATTTGATTTTGTTAAATTAAAGTAATCATATATACATTTTAGGAACCTAAATGGAAAAAACCTAGAGGAGTTAAACAAAGAAAYAAAGCATTGGAATGGTTAAGAAGTAACAGAGCTAATAAAAACGATGAAGGRATAATTTTTTTTGCTGATGATGATAACACATATAGTGTTGAGTTATTTAATGAAGTAAATGTTACTCATGCTATAGCTGTTTTAACCTTACCATGAAAATATAGTTATACTATTAYAATATTATTTTTTAATTTTATTTACATAGATGCGAACTGTAAAAGGTGTTGGTGTTTGGCCAGTTGGTCTTGTTGGTGGTCTTTTAGTTGAAAAACCATTAATAAACAGTAAAGGCAAAGTAATTGGTTGGAATAGTGCTTGGAGACCAGAACGACCATTTCCTGTTGATATGGCAGGTTTTGCCATTAATTTAAAACTTTTACATAATCATCCGAATGCCGCGTTTTCATGGGATGTCAGTCGAGGTTTTCAGGAAAGTGCTATACTTTCTCAGGTGACCACTGTAGAACAATTGGAGCCTATGGCAGATAATTGTACAAAAGTAAGTTTGTGAAAATTATATTTTATTATAGTATATTATTATATTACAGTTGTCTCAATAACTCAGATTTCAAAGGAAATAAAAATAAATTTGACCTGTATTTTTCAAGTTCTATGATTCACGACTTAAAAAAACTTCATGTGGTTAAAACTAAAATTGAGTTATTAAACCTTAACTGTGTAATTATTCCTAATCATTTATAAATTTAGGTGTATGTTTGGCATACGAGGACTGAAGAACCAATACTAAAAGCAGAAGAAAAACTTAAAAACCGTGGACTTCGATCAGACWTGAATATTGAAGTTTAATATTCTCTAGTGATGTTAAAACCGGGTGATGCATCAGAAATTATTTTAGTCTATAAAAATGACCTTAAAAGACTCACTGCTCAATGGAGAAAGTAAAGGCCAACTTGTGTTTATATTTATATACATTATCAAATTAAGCTATGACGTWGATTAAAATGATCTGTTAGTTATTGCTGATAAAAACCATATTAAATATTTATTTAAATCTAAACCTCCAATTGTAAATTTCTAACCAATAAAAATTATTGAAACAATAATTAAATTATAAATAATATTAATTATATCAATTCAAATTAAAAATAAAATTATTGCTTT